AAATCCAGTAAAACCTATTATAAAGAATATGAAAAGTTCTCTTCGTGGATGAATAGGAAGCACTTACGAATAAAGTCTTAAATGCATCGATAATGCTGGCATATATGAAGGAAATGTCAAAGGTATTTAAATATTCTATCTTTTGGTGCATTCATTCAAAACTTCAAACAATGCTGTGATTAAAAAGTGGAACAGATTTGGAAGCAAACCCTAAATTCCGCGCGTTTGTGAAAGATTCAACCAAAGGATAGGTACAAGCCAAAGAAATGTTCTGCATTTACAGAAAGCGGCCTAAGAGGATTTGTTATTTGAGTTTCAAAAGTCATCGTAAGTATCATTACTTAGCAATTTTAAAGCACGTGTGTTTTAAAGCCTTTTTTCGCACGCATTTGAGTGTTTAAAACGGAGATTGTGATTCAGGTATAATAAAATGCCAAAGAATGGCTTAGGTAACGTGCACAATTTACCAAACCCAAGTACACCACCCAACACGAAACGAAGTTAACGAAACAAGCATTAAATTCCATTTATAACTTCTTTTACGAGCATACACCCGATAGAGGCAGCGCTGTTTATGACTACCTAAATCAAAATTCCATGTGTTTAACCACAAAAATGAAGTACCGTACGGGCGCCAACATTTCGTTTCGCATTAGTTCTTTTTATACGGAACTAGTGAGTCGTGGAAGTAAAATTAAAACCATAAGAGGTTCTAGCGACTGTTCATGTCCGTATGAAGGTTTAGAATGATCGTGTGAACAACAGAGACCATAATGGAAAGCTTTTGCAATTTGACATCACAAAATAGATTCCGATGTTTTATAGTAGCATTTGTCATAACTCATAATTCTTATCAGCCAATAAGTAAAGCTGCACTCTAACGAAATAGAGAAAATGAACAGTCAATTAAAAAATCTTTAATATGATTCGCTTTTTACTAATATTATACTAAGACCTTTTTCATTTTACAAGATCCCCATGTCTAAAAATATAATAGACATTTACGTTCAGACCCTTCGTTTTGAGATACACGGAAATAGAATCCCAACTTACTTTAATGGAATGAGATATTGGCCCAAATGTCAAATTTCATCTAGCAGTGACGAGCGACCGATCCTTTCCTCCAATATTACCAATTATTTCTAAAGAAGAAAAAGCTCTCTCTCGTAGATCGCTAACACTGTTTGTGAGATGGATTATTCGCTTCTCCTGCAGTTTAAATTAAATTGTTGTGAGAGATCAAATAATGTCATAACAAGAAAGGAAAACTCGAACAAAGTAGAATGAGAGCTTATTTAACTCAGAATTTGTCCATTTTTAGTACAGAAATTAAAAACCGTCTTTATTGATCTAGAATTTGTTTCCGTTGAATTGCGGGCGATATGTAATCACGTTACCAGACGAATCCGACGTAGTCATCATGGAGTGAGTGAGTGCCTTTATAAAGTAACTCTCTCGAGACTGTAATGGACGTAAGGGGCCAGTGTATTCTCTCCCTCAAGGGTAGTTATAGAAACTGCCATTCTTCATTGTATTGTGTGTGCAGAAAACGGCTATGTAAAATGTAAGAGCATCGAAATTTATTTGATTTTGTTTAAAGATCAAAGGGAAGGGCTATAAATTTTGTCGATGCGGAGGGCGTCTTAAATTTCAGTTTTTGTTTGAAATCACATGTCTTGAGTTTCTCAACCGGAAACTACTTTTCATATTGGAAGAAAACCTTTCCTACATGTTTAGATATAGCAAATAAAGGCATAGATGGAAGGTGACAAAAAAAGACATTGATTTGTATGATAATATTGTTCCAGTTTATGACCCGGGATACCAGCAACTCCCTCGGGAATGACGATGCTCCTAAAATTTATATTTTGTGTGTTATGTACTTGCGCGGGTTACACGAGAAAATGATACCAGGTGCTACCTTGTGCAAATTCAAACGTCAGGTGCTTAATATAATTTATGGATTTCCTTTTCGAGTTTACAAACTACGTATTGTTTCGTTTCAGTTGTTTGTTTCCATTTCCCTTTTCAATCTGCATCAATCATTTAAATATTAGTAATAATAATAATAATAATAAACGTATATTTGTTTTAAGGCAATGCCTCATACAAAGAAATAGAGAGAGATATGATAGATAACTTAAACAAATTATAAATTTCTAAATAATTATGACATAAAAGAAACCATTTTTCTATAAATAAGTAAATCAACTATCATTCATTTAAACAAAATGATCTTATTCTTAATGCATTAAGTATATAATTATAAACACAGTTTAGTTGGGCTGCGTCCTTTACTTGTAGTAAGTGACAGATATTAGATTCGTCGTCCTCATCGATGCAATATTTTTTTAAATAAACGACCCTTATCGGTTGATATATTGGGCATTTAAAAAGGAAGTGTATAAGATTTTCGTTTTCGTTAAGATTACATACTTGGCATTTGTTTATGTTATCTAGTTTGTAAAGCATATTTTTTATAAGAATGCGCGTCCCATTTTTGTAAGCCAGTCTGAGTTGTGCTACTGTTCTGATCTTTATAATTGGGACTTTAAACGTTAAATATGCTGACATTTCATAATTATGCTTCATAGCCTGTAATTTGTTGTAGTGGTCGTTAAATTTTGTACTCGTTACGATATCTGCAGATTTTAAAGTTGTGAAGTGTTGGTCAATTACATTTCTGATAGAGCTTTTAGTCATATGATGCGATTGCTGTAGCCAGGTGTTCCCATACCCCAGATTTTCTATAAAATGACGTATTTGTGATGCCCAGTTGTATTCAGCCGTATTCTGTTCCCAGGAGTCGAGGTGTTTCAACCGATTATAAAGCAAATTCGTATAAGACGTTGGTTTTTGTTTTAATACTTTCCTCCACCAATTTAATGCTCGCGCCCATACGAAGTTACTAACATGCCTCGCGCCGGTTTCCAGGCGGAGCATATGATTAGGGGTAGTTTTCTGACATTGCAGAACGTCTTTGAGATACTTGGTGAGTATTCCTTCAAGCCCTTCCGGTTTAAAAACGGCCCATGTTTCAGCTCCATGCAGAGCGGTAGCTTGGACAAGACTATGAAATAGTTTGAATTTTTCATTCCATGAACTCGATTTGCCTTTTATGAGGATTGCTTTAACATTACCGATTGCAACTAAGGCCTTCTTTTTTGCCTCTTTTGTTGCTTCATTAAATTTGCCCGTTGATGTAAATGTAACGCCAAGATATGAAAATTTATTTACAACTTCTAATGGATCGCGATCATAATAAAACTTAACAGTTTTTGAATGTGTCCAGTTTCTTTGAAATTTCATTATTTTAGTTTTGTTAGTATTTAACGTCAGACTATTTTCCTTACAATAATTGTATAAAATATTAATTTTCTTTTGCAAGTCTATGGGAGAATGGGAGAACAAAGCAATGTCGTCAGCATATGCAATTAACAAAATATCATTGTTCTGATCGATATTTAAACCACGAACTCCATGTGCTCGGAAATAACTCTCTATATCATTTATAAAAAGTGAAAACAGTATTGGAGATAGTTTTTCCCCCTGCAACACCCCTTCTGTGATAGGAATCGTATTACTTAAGTTGTTGTTCACTTTAACCTGCAAACTTGCATTCTTATACAGACTCTCTATCATTCTAATAACTTTTGCACTAATGCCATTATCATACAATTTCCTCCAAAGTATGTTATGGTTGATTCTGTCGAATGCTTGTTTAAAATCGATAAACATTACATATACTGCATTTCTTGCCAACCTTAGTTGTATATGAATAATTGCCATTAATGAGAATATGTTATCCGAAGTGCCTCTAGTTTTTCTAAATCCCATTTGGTATTCCTTTAGAATGGAAGATTCTTCAACAAAGTTGTAAATTCTATTGTATAGGATTTGGGTAAATAATTTTGTAACACTATTGGTTAGGGCTATACCTCTGTAATTTGCTGGATCATTTTTCGGTCCTTTCTTATGAATTGGCGTGATGATTATTATTGACCAAGAACGAGGTATTTTTTCTAATTCCCAAATATTGTTAAACATATTGAGCATATAATGTTCCCAGTTTGGTATATTAGTATTATAACTAACTGTTGTTAAAACAAACAATAACAAAAATCCTGTTTCGCTGTCGAACTTTTTCTATCACGATAGATTCTCTTGTGTACAAAAACCTTTTATTACTAAATATTGTTTACCGTGCCTCATTGTATGAACCCTATTGATTTGGAGCTTCATGAAAGACTCTCACTTTAAAGGGAGAATTCTAATGAAGTAAAGAAACATTTACTGAATCTTATGTGTGGAGGGATTTTAATGCTGTCTCTTTCTAATAAAAACAAATTAATCGACTGTCAAATATAGAAAACGGGGCCAAAAAGGGAAAAATGATAGACACGACACGAGAGGCATCCGTAGCGTCGGGGGGTCAAAATTTCAAGTGTGAATATCTCCAAAACGTAGTGTCGGAAGAGGATAATTACAATGGGACAATGATAGATGTGGACGAAGCGCATCGATTGGTTCTAGTGTGTAGAAAGGGATTATTTATTGACCAATTTTGATGTGGAACAGTACAAACGCATTGCTTGTGTGCCCAAATAGGAGTATTTCATACATTTACATAACATGTACCTTTTAGTTTTTTATTTGCAAACTATTCACAAATAGAGAATAGGGAAGACACATAATTACAAGTTGATGGCTCTGCACCGTTTTCGATCAAACATCTTTACATGGTGCGACCTATTTGTTTTGCCAGGAATACAGGGCCTCCGTAACTGTAAAGTTTTTTTTGGGTCAGGCCTTAAAAACATTTTTTTTAGTCTTTTTTAAATTTTTTTCACGTTTAATGAAATAAGTTGCAAGTTGTTACTTTTTCGTTCTATTCAATTCGTAATAAAAAAATTACATCTCGAAAAATTAGAGCGATGCCAACTATGCATTATACGTATCATTAATTCAGAGACATAACAATCCTCCCTCCTTAATTACAACTATAAATTCAAGCGGTTTGGCGGTAAACGCAATCGGCCTGATCTACGAAGAATATCTGCTGAATCTGGTTGTACCAACGTCGGTTCTTGGTCAGTTTCAGACTCCTGTTGCTGCGGCGATTGTTGCCAAGTATTTGATTGCCTATAAGGTGTTGATTGACCAACCGGTAATCTCATGGGTGAAGTTGAGTCAATCACCGAAGAATCGGTAGAAACACACGCTGGTCTTGTCTCGGATGATTTCGACATAATGGTTGGATGTGGTTGCGATGTACTTGGTGCGGCTTCTAAGGCCGAATCTGAATGATCTGCATGGGTATCATCTCCTCCTTCACAAAGCGTTCGTCGCATCTGGTTTACGTGACACTTTCGATGTCTGCCATCCACTTCTACATCATAATGTGTAAGGCCACATCGTGCGAATACAGTCCCAAATTCCCATTTAACTCGTAAGTTTCGGTATGACCGTATCTGTACTTTGTCACCTGATACAAATTCTCGTGATACTGGTTCATTCGACGAATTTTCATTCATCTCAGTGGTCAGATCTCGTTTCATGAGAACCAATTTGGTTCGGATTTGTCGCCCAAACATGAGTTCAGCTGGACTTTGACCTGTTGTACTGTTCGGTGCCTTTCGATATTGTATCAGCAGGCGATCCAACTTCAAATCCAAATCACCAGGCTCATCTGCCATGCAACGCAAACCCTTCTTCAGCATTTGCACATAACGTTCAGCCTGCCCATTACTTGCTGGATGGTATGGCGCCGTGAATTTGTGGCGAATACCATTTTGTTTCGTAAATGTGTCCATCTCGTTTGATCGAAATTGTGGGCCATTGTCGCTAACCATCGTAACTGGAATACCAAACCTAGCAAACGTCCTTCTCAAAATTCGAATCGTAGTTTTCGTGTCAGTATTCCTCGTAGGAAAAATCTCCGGCCACTTACTGTAAGCGTCGACGATCAATAGAAAGTTCGTGTTCATGAATGGCCCAGCATAGTCTATATGAATTCGTTGAAATGGGAACGATGGAAACTCCCACGAATGCACTGGAACTTTGGCGGCTTCCTTCTGAACCAAACAGCAACTTCGACATTTCTTTACCGTCATTTCAATATCGGCATCAATACCATTCCAAAAACAGTAACTACGTGCCATAGCCTTCATCTTCGTCATTCCCAAATGAGCATCGTGTAATTCGTTCAAAACTGTTTGTTGCAGTGATTTTGGGATGACAACGCGCATACCATAGAAAATGCATCCATCGTGCATGTTATACTTCGTTTGTGTTTCGTTCGGGTTCGATGAACTACTCTCCAGTTCGTGGCAAACTTTACGCAATACTTCATCTTTAATAGTTTCTCGTCGAATTTGTTCTCGTGTTACTGGCATGTACTCTATCTGCTTCGTTTAAAATATGCTTGTTTCGTCTTCAGCAATCTTTGTTGGTTCTGGGAAACGTGAAAAATAATCTGCATTTAAATTTTCGTGCGTGCTCCGATACTCTATTGTATAATTGAATTCTGACAAGTATATTGCGTAATTCAGCATTCGCATTGCTGAAAGCGTTGGTAGTGCCTTGTCGGGGTTAAAGATCGTCACTAGCGGCTTATGGTCCGTGCGCAATACAAATTTCCGGCCGTAGCAATATTGGAAAAATTTGTTAATGCCCAAAAAAATTGCGGTTGCTTCCTTATCTATTTGGCTATAATTTTGTTCGCTTTTCGACAATGTTCGGGATGCAAAGGCGATTGGTCTTTCCATTCCATTGGACATCTTATGTGATAACACGGCACCGAGACCAACAGATGATGCATCAGTTTCCACGATCAATGGCAATTTCGGGTCATAGTGCATCAAAACCCGGTCGCTGGTCAATTCTTTTTTTATTATATCAAACGCCTTTTTGCATTTATCTGACCAGATAAATTTAACCTCCTTTCCCAGGAGACTGTTCAACGGTTTTATCTTTGTAGCCAGATCGGGTATAAAACGGTGATAATAATTTATCAAGCCCAAAAATGTACGCAGTTCCTCGACGTTTGTAGGTGTTGTAGCATTGCGTATCGCAGTGGTCTTATCATCCAGAGGATGCAGGCCCCTCGAATCAATTCGATGGCCCAAATACTTCACGTTCGACTTGAAGAATTGGCACTTTTCCTTCTTCAAGTGCAAATCGTTGTCTCGCAGTTTCTTCAGTACGTTTCTTAATCTTTGCATAGTTTCTTCGATCGTTGATCCTTGCACGATTATATCATCAAAGAAACAGGCTACCCCATCCAATTCGTGCAGTAGTTGATCCATAAAGCGCTGCCAGATATTGGGTGCAGTCTTTACTCCGAACATTAATCTATTGACCTTGTAAACCCCTTTTTCAGTACTTATGCTTGCAACATTGCGCTATGTTCGTCAACAGGCATGTGTAGATACGCGCGACTGACATCAAGTGTACAGAAAAATCTTCCCCCGCTCATTTTCGCAAAAATATCTTCGATCCTGGGAATGGGGTACTTGTCATCCTTCAAAAATCGATTCAATGTCACCTTCTAATCCGCACACAAACGAATGGAGTCGTCAGATTTTACAATCGGAACCACAGGTGTTCCCCATTGACTGTGAACAACCTTTTCAATCACGCCCATCGCCTCAAGTCGATCAATTTCAGCGTTCACACGATCTTTCAAGGCATACGGTACTGGTCGAGCTCTCCAAAATTTTGGTGCGGTGTTCTCTAGCATTTGTAAATTGCTCTCCATCGTTGGAATTCGACCTAATTTATCATCGAAAACATCGCCGAATTCCTTCAAAAACGACTTCAACAATTCATCGGAATTTGCTTGCGTGACCGTGACCTCGTGAATTTCTAAGTCATTCAGCGGACGTTTATGAAGATCCAGGATCCTAATCCACTGTCGGCCGCAAATAGAGTCAACATCATCTCCCACAATAAATAAGCGCCCAATGGTTACTTTGTTTCCAAAACTGATCGTAACATTACATGTGCCCAGTGGCTCAATTATCTCACCAGAGTAAGTCCTCAATCGAGAAGATGTGTCGGAAATCGAGAGCCCAGGACACACCTTCAAAAAATTTCGGTAAGACATCGTCGAAACTGCTGCCCCCGTGTCCAGTTCAAATTCACAATTGTTCTGTTCCACCTGGATGTTCACCATAAACTTGCCACTCCCTCCGCTTTTTACGCCGTGCATGTGAAAAATATTTCCAATCGTATACATTTCAAATTGATCGTCTTCAACGATGTCATCATTATCCTCGGATTGCGTTACTTGTTGAACTGTTTTAATGTTTCCCCCCTGCATACAAACGGTGGCAATGTGGCCTACCTTCTTACACTTCGCACAAATTTTGTCTTTCATGGAACATCTAAAAGCACGGTGCCCTTCGTGGCCGCATCTGTAACATTTTCCCGTGAAGTCAAATCTTGTAGTTTCTTTCGACGATGTCGGGTTAACTTTTTGTCGGCCTCCGTACGCTTTCCATGTTCGTTGCTCCTTCACTGCATTAACAGGCTCACTATTATGGGTTTGCTGGCTTCTCTGGATTTCTCTGCTTTCAATTTTTGATGTGTTAATCGCTGTCGCCTCCCGTACAATTTCGTCGAACTTTGTGTCCTCTTTTAGACGCAACAACTCCTGCCGAATATCGTCGTCACGTAATCCACGAATAAATTGTGTCCGCAAATGTGTCTCGATGGTCGATTTTCCACAATCGGTACCTACATGTAAAAGAGCAATTGATGGAGAGGCGTTTCAATTCTTCAATAAACTTCATGATAGACTCTCATTCTGTATTCGCACTGCGAAGCGATGTTGCTGTGCAAATACGTTCGGCTTCGGGCTCAAATGTGTCCTCAACAAGTTAATTAATACGTCGTAGGTTTTTGCCTTTGGCTTTTCCGGAACTGTCAAATTTGTGAGCGTTTGGAATACTGACGGCGGAATAAGTTCAAGCAGCATTCCCACCTTTTCCTTATCCTCTGCGATTTCTTTTCTTTCTAAATAGTTTTCTAATCGATCGATAAAGTTTTCCATCGTTTCGTTTGTCTCATCGTAGGAGTGAAAATGTACCTTCCGTTTTGGAATTGCATTTCCTGTTCCCGTGGAATTTCGTTGCGTTTCATGTAAATCTTGTAAAACATTACAAATTCGGTCCAAAACGTTCTCGAGTTTTGATCCCATCTCCGTCGCCATTTTTATATATTCACGTTTAATGAAATAAGTTGCAAGTTGTTACTTTTTCGTTCTATTCAATTCGTAATAAAAATAATTACATCTCGAAAAATTAGAGCGATGCCAACTATGCATTATACGTATCATTAATTCAGAGACATAACAATGGCCACAATTTATTATACCGGGGATTAATATGGCAAAAAATCTTGAAATAAAAATAGTAAAAGTGTGAAGCTCAAATTTTAGAGGTTCCTAAGTCGTATTCTAACCGAGCTTCGCATTTGCAAGACGCGTGTGTATCTCATACGCCCGCATGAAGCTCAAACAACCTCTTGCATAGACCAGATCTGATGGTATGTACTCGTGCATTCCTTTCTTCAATTCATACGAATCACCGACCACCGTTCAATAAATGTACAAAATAAATGTTTGTTTACTTTGTTTATTCTGGACAACAAAAAGTAACGTTATTTTCTTACCGATTGTGTATTGTTACCCTAATTTAAATTCTTACGCCATCTAAGTATTTCCTTTAGCATCCACTTGTTTAGATGTTAGTGGTTCCTGTAGTAAATTGGTTCCTAGTGTTATAGATTTCTTATTACAATAGTTCTTTGTTTTGCCGCTCAAGGTCGTTCAGAGCTTTTCTTAATTTTTTTCGTCGCAGACACTTTTTTGTACACAACCAGATGCAACCATCACCTGTAAGAAGAACTTACACGCCATATTGGCTACTCGACGGTTTAGTTATGGATTTATTGTGGGCATATCAGTTCGGTGATATTTTGCTTTCGACACTTCTCGGTTCGGTATGTACCATAATGTACGGATTACTTTGGCTTTGAATAATAATTTTTTAGGCTTCTCACTCCTACCTTACCCTTTTCTTCATTATTACCTACCTGATTGTTACTTTCTACATCGATATTCCTGAGTGGAAACCGCAGAATTTTGGATTTTCTCATTCGGAACGTCCACCGCCATCTTATCAATTAAAGAACGCGGTGTATGTTTCTACCTTACCGGCTTTACAAATTCTATTCTATTTCTCGTGACCTACTGACGTGGAATTTGTTTACCTACACTTCGATATTTGATCCTGAATTGTGACCGCAAGTATAACGAAACGTTTGGAGATTAACGATCTTGTCAATCTTGTTTTGCTAAAAAAAATATATCTTCCGAGACACGATTTTGTGGACGATCATTTTTGTGACTCCGAAAATTCATTTCTGTTAGTTTGATTGCATAGTATCCTTTAGATTCGCTGTGTTTTTTGAGATCTTAGTTACCGTTGCTTGGTAACAAAATTTTTAAAGTTACGAGGACTTTGTCCGAAGCCGATATCTACAATTTTTAGTTACGTTATTTGTTTTACTCCGAAGAATTTGTTCATGTTACCTGATTTGCATTTTGAATTAATTAGATTGCTTTGGTGTTGAATAGAAATTTAGTTATTTGTGTACCGTAAAGTAGTTTTCTTTAATTTAACGTCATGTGCAGATTTTGTAAGGGTAATCCGTAGTCGAGTCAAAATATTGCGTTTGCTAGTGTCAAATCATTCGAATTATTGGTTTTATTGAGGTTTAATTACGGTTTTATATTCGATTGCCGATATTTTATGTGCCGCACTATTCACTACCATTTTTGTTTGTCTGTTTGTGTTGCTGTGTGTTACAGATTGGCAGTACGCGTCCTTCTGAGCTCAGAAGGTTGTGACCTGAAGTTGAAAAGCAATTTTTTTTTATTTTCGACGACTCCTTGGTATAACGTTTGATTGCATATTGTTTTCGATACAATCGAATTGTAATTACCACCTTTGCTTGAAATTCATTTAACGATTATAGCTCCGTTGTTTTCTGCCGAAACCTGGTTTTGATATTAATACTTTCTACGAAACCCTTTAATTAATTTAAATTTAAATGTTGACATTGCATATGTAAATATTATAGCGTACTATTTGTAATATTTTTGAGATCATTTATGAAATCACCCTCGATTGAGACGTCAATTATCTTTCTATCCCTGTCAATTATTTTATTTTTTTAGCTTATCCAGACCAGAACAACGATCTCTCAGTCTGCCCTGATTTTTCCCTTTTGCTAACTATTCTCTCCTTTCTTTTGCAATTTACTAAAGACTAAGTGGCGCCTATTCGGTTTTTTTATTACCACTTTTAATTCATGTGTTACGAGCCGCCACTGGTAAGTTCGCACATCGGCTTATGAGGTTATACATCTTTGCCGTTCAAAAATAGATAACAACAGGTCAAAACGTCAACTGCCTGATTAACAAATTTTGACAAACGTCTAACAACCCATAACAAATTCTTCATTTCTTTCTCATTTTCTTTGCTACCTCGTATCTTGAAATGTGCTTGTGTGATCACAAAAGTGCGATGGGGCTTTCTATTCAGTTTTGTTTCAGAATTATGCCTCCATTGTTAGTAGGCGCAAATTTCGTAACACCCTGTATAAACATCTTGTGTCCCGCCGGTTGTAGGCGCACTCCTACGAAACGACTCAACCTATTCTTATAAAATATTGTGTTTGGTATGTGAATATATCGTAAAATATATTTCATATTGCTAGATGATTATATAGTCCACTGGCTGAGGCGGCGCAGCCACCGAGACCGCGCGTATGTCCTATCCAAGAACGAACGAAATTGAATCGAACTTTCAGTTCAATTCGTTTCGAGATAATGGTCGGCTTGGTACGAAAATATTCTGGTGCGTCCGAGGTTCGTTTCGCAAAATGAACAGAACTATAGGGCTGTAGTACCATTTACGCCGACCTTGACAGATGACCAGTTAGGGAAACAGGTCACTTTGAGAGTTTCAGACTTCAAAATACGTTCTTTTTTCTTTTTTAATTGAAAGAATACAGTTTATAGTTAGTGACATAATTACACAATTTCCAAGTCAGGTGATATTTTACTGACAATGTTTTTTCATAGAAGTCAGGAAAATGACACATTACTAGCTAGGAAATATTGAAGTACGAGGCCCCTTTGTGGCCGAGTATTTTAATTTCCGAGATAAGTAATGTCATTTTACTGACGAGTTTTGTATTAATTTTACCCGAAATCGTATTTTAATATAAAATTTCAATTTTCATATAGAACATTTGATTAATGTCAATCTGAAAGTGATGACAGAAGTCAAGGATTGCCTGCATGCAAATTTTTAACAGTGCATTTTTTGCAATCCCCTCCATACAGAATCTAGATTGTGAAAATAAAATTTGTTTCTGTTCCCTTTTGTCGATTTGCGGCGTTTTCCTTAAAAAATTATATTCCTATTTTTAACCCACTTGTCCTAAACTAAAAGAAAATAAATAAATTAATCTTCTTTCTTTTGGAACATTTTAATTTAACTACCTGCTATGTTTATGTAGTGTAGATCAAGAGTAATTTATTATAATATGTACAACATTAATAGTGGTATTACCGACAGATCGAAATACATGCAGCTATTACAGTACAATTAAACGGAATTGGACAAAAAGGGTAAGGTAACTATAATACCAAAGGTTGACATTGAAAAACGGCTTGCTTCATGCCGCGTCTAATTGCCAAGAGTCTTTAGTAAACATGTACGTGCACAATCAGTGGAAGGATATTGTATTATTTACACGACGAACGTGTTTCAAAGAAAATTAAAAATACATAGACTGCCGGGAATGCTCCTTTTTTTGCTAAGAACATGAAATTCAAGGGTTCGTACTCGGCGAGGTTAACCCCTTACAAGTGCCTGTAATTAAATTTTCCTTTTCTTTATTTTGCCACTCCAACGTATGTTTCCATCGAAGCTCTAAATTCCTAATGAATAACACCCTCTCTGAATATATTCGCAATTTACCCTTTCAAGTACTCCGAGTTTGAAAGGCCTTTTTTACACATCGAGTGGGCGAACGTATTTTATAAACGAAAGGCGCTTTCACCGGCATTGCCTATACGTGAAAATCTTAAACTTGAGTTTGCAAGGTACGCCAAAATTTAGATTCTGGTGCAGCGATCTGTAGCTAAAGGTGCATTGAAAGAAATTGAATAACTTACCTATCGATCATTGTTTTTGTTTATGCGTGGAACGAAGGCGTAAAAGTAAACATTAACAAGTGCGACTATCTGTCCCAGTATTTACGCGAAGCAGAAGACCGAAAGGTATGTTGCACCCGCCAACAACACCATCGCACTTATGTCTAAAAACGTTTTCTCGCTACTGTCTAATGCGGACAAGTGTTCTCGCGGCGCAGTCTCTATTAATATCGACCTACCGCGGTTAAATAAGCGAAAACAAGCTTTGTCACCATTCTTTGGTCCAATGGACAGTTGGATGGCACGTGGAAGAAGTTTGGGTTGCATTTTAATATCTGATTAATTAAAGCATGAACTACTTTGTCATACTGTCACTCCTTCAAAATTAAGATGGACAGTCAAAAGAGCTTTTACAGGAAAGTATAGATTTTTTGGTAGGCACCCACCCCCACTGAATATTTGATATTGAATCTGATCCTCATTAAGAAATTCTTTTGAGGACTAAAAGCAAAATGAATCATGGCTAATTACATTACACCTAGGAACCTTACCTACGTAATAACGAAGTTTTTTACGGGCGATTTTAAAAATTTAAGAACAAAAATTTCTTAGAAAGTTACTTTCCATGTTAAATTAAACATGAATACGCTTATTTTGATAGAATATGTTACTGTAGAGGGTGTCTAATTTGATAGGGGAGGTTGTGTTTTTATTGATTTCCTAACACAATTTTCAGAATGAAAATAATACGGCTTGGTCATGCTAAGAGGGAATAGTTTGCTGAAAGACATTGTCGAAGGAGCAGTGGGGGGTACAAGGTAAAGAGGAAGAAGACGAGTGAAGATGGCAAACGATCTGAAAGAGGTATGTGGATATGAAAAGGAAATGGATAGAGAAAAGTGAAGACGGCAAAATAAAACCAGCATATAACAGAAATTGACAGATCAAAATTAGGAGTACCTGGCACAATGCACGAAACT